TTTTTTTTTTAGGAATTCAATTTCAAAGTTTAATTAAAAAAAAAACTTTTTTTTTTTTTTTAAAGGCCACTTGATTTTAGTTCTGAGCTCGAATTTCTGCTCGAGAATGGAATCAGAGCTTTAATTTATCATGGTGATGCCGACTGGATTTGTAACTGGTAATCATACAAATTCATTCCTTTTTGAAATATAAGTATATGCATAGATCACTTATCTAATATATATTTACATCAATAAAGGAAAGGAGGTTTGGAAATGGCCCTTAATCTTAATTGGAAATGCAAATCTAAATTTTCATCAGCTCCTATGAAAGAATGGTTCGTTGATGGAACTAGCGCCGGTCAAGTCAAATGTGCTGATATTTTATCATTTGTTACGATATATAAAGCCGGTCATGAATCTCCAGCCGATCAGTCAAAAGCTGCATTTGATATGTTTACTAAATGGATATCTAATATAAAAATTGAATAGCTTTTTGTTAATTAGATTCTTAATTTAATATCTATATTAATCTTTCTTAAATGTTATTAATAATGATGTCATTAACAATTAGAGTAATTCTACGTACGTATTACATGATGTTTATTAATGAAAAACTTATGTCGATCGGGCATTTTTTTTTTTTGATTATGCATCCTAAAATAAATCAAAAATAGATCATTTCTGAATCATAATGAATAGGGACACTAATTATGAGGGATACATCCCTACTTTAAAGTGACTCGTTACACGTGAGAAAATTGCCGTACCCAAACTTATTATTAAATGCGTACCACGTAATCTTTATTAGTATGGTGCCACAAAACTGTAAAAATTAACAATATTTAAGTCATTGGTTACCGTTACAAGTAAAGCTAAACTCGAGATATCAAAACCAAAGTTAATTGTCTGACTAATTCGTCTTGCAAGATATAGTTTATTTATTACATATATATTTATTTATTTATAAAAAAAAGTGTTTGTTTAAAATGATTTACTACAATAATGTTGCTAAGTAATTGATACATAAACAACGGATATCCAAAATCTGGATAGTAAGGTTTTTTTTCTCCTTTTACTTTTTTTTCTAGTAAAACGTTCCTGCATTTATTATTCCTTCGGTGACGCAATGGAACTTGATAACTCTGAAAAAAACAAAGTTGAAATTAATCCTCTAACTAACCAAGAAATTTTTGATATCAAAGTTTTTGAAGATGGTTCGAAAATAGGTCAATCCATTTTTGACAACGTTGATTATATTTCCATCAATGATGATATTGAAACCAGCAGTATTCTATCGGTTCAGTCGCCAAAAGATAGATCATCTTTTTATTTGAACGATGATGACACCACCAACCTTTATGATATAAATGATGTTGATTTGATTAATTTTAATGCTTTACAAAAAGATATAGAGGCATATTTTAAACAATCTTGTTCTTCAATCTTCAGAATAGATCAAAATATGAGCAACCATACTCCTTATCTTGCAATTATGAAGGATGGTTCTGAATATGTTGTTCGTTTATCATCTCCTATCAACCAAATTCACAAATATTCTAAAACTTATACGTCAAAACGATTACAAAGTGAAGCCTCCATGATTAATTACGTAGCTAAACATACTGATATTCCAGTTCCTGAGATATACTATTGGAATGATGATAGTGACAACGTTATTGGCACCGATTTTGTAATAATGAAACATTTACGTGGCGTTCCTTTATATAACGAATGGCCGGATCTTACATTTGAAGAAAAACAAGATGTTTTACTTCAAATAATTGATATCTTGATGAAATTAAAAAATTTACAATTTCCAAAAATAGGAAGTTTATACTCAAATGAATGTAAAACTAATGATCAAGTAGTTATCGGTGAATGCATCTTTCACGTTTTTATGCTATCAGGAAGAGATG